CTTCGCCCGGACGCGCACCTCCTGCTGCCTCTGCCCATGGGGCCGCTGCACGGCTCGGCCCCGTCCGACATCACCCCTCCGACCTCCACCATCATCCGTTCGCTGCCTCCTTTCTTCCATGCTCATCCTCTTCTCGTTCTTCGCCGTTCTTCGCCCGGACGCGCACCTCCTGCTGCCTCTGCCCATGGGGCTGCTGCACGGCTCGGCCCCGTCCGACATCACACCAGCGCCCTGTCCGTCTCTTTTCGTCAGACATGAACTCGGCTGCACCTCGACACCCGCCTCTTGCTGTGTCACGCGACCACCATGGCCAATTTCTGCTCGCCCAAGCACCACGTTGGCTTGATCTGGATCACGGGTTGAATAATAAAAATGCAAGGACCTTCTTGTAAAAACGGAACGTTTTCTCACGTACTAACTTAAAATAGAACTGCGGGTTGATTACTCAAAATCACAGGGACCTTTATGTAAAAACGCCACGATGGTGAACCCGAGAGACTCAACCCGTGCTTTATTATTAGGGAGAGATTCTTTAGTATATACTGTTGTATACATACAAATATGCAGGTATTTCCAACATATACCAAAATTACGGACTCACTTCCAATTTTTTTCATGTAGCTTGCTTTGGAAATCTAAGATATAACATACTCAAAATGGTAAGGCAACTCCAACGCCATGCATCAAAGTGCCCGTAAACGTCCGGGACGCGGTCCTAACACTATAGGCCATCCAACATCGTGCACCAAACGTCTGAAATCCCACAAACCGAAAGCAAAGCTGGGGAAGGTTTGCGGGCGTCCGGACCTCCACCACGTAGGCCTCTGACACCCCCGGCCCACACAAAACCCTCTCTCTCTCTCGTTCTGCTCCAACCGCCACTATGCTCTTCGCGCCACATTCATGCCAGTCCATAGCGGACATGACCTGTCACTGCCACATGTCAATCACTCCATGTGCGCTCACTCTCCTCACCACGTTAATGTCGGTTCAAAGCGGACATGACCAGGCATGACAACAGGACGGCATCCTACCGCATTCAAGTTGGTCGTCCGCCTACCCAGCATTGACACCGGCGTGGCAAACAAGAAACCAACTCCAGGCGAACGCATTCAAGCCGCCGCTCTGTCGGCCACAACACAAACTGCATCACGTCCAAGCCCCATCGCCGCCGTCTGAGCCGCCGAAACACCGCCTCTTCCCTTCTTCCTTCTTCGACCTTCGCGAGCAATGGCCGGGACCCGGCGTGTGTGGTGTAAGACACTCTCGACGCAGCGCCGTGACAAAATCAAAACCGAGATGGACGCATGGCGTCCTTAGCGCGCGGCCAACATTATGGCGGGAGAGCCTTCGAGCTCTCCTGAGGAGCTCGGATGAGGACACGGCGATGAAGGAGGCAAAGGAGGAGCAGTCGCCCGCGCCGGTAGCTGGGTTAACCATGGAGCAAGCGGAGGAGCACTGCAGTCGCGTCATGGCAGAGCCAATGGAGCAGGCGCCGCCGATGTCCGCGTTCCGGATGCTGCAGGAGGAGCGGTACAACCTGCTGCTCCTCTCAAAGCACCAGTTGGCGGCAAGATTGAGGGCGAGCAGGTGTCCAATCAGTTGTCGCAACCATGGTCGTGAAGGATCCAGGCTTCGTGGACATGCAACGAGTGGTTCTCAAATCCATGTGCAGCGCCTACACCATCTGACACGAGCGGTGGCACCTCCGCGTCATGGAGGCAGAGCGCGACCGCCTCTTCAACCAGATCGCAGCGGAGGCGGCACAGGCAGTGGCAGACGCGACCGATACCAACATCAGCAGCTCCACGTCGTTCGCGCCGCGCCGCACCGCAACAACCGCGAGGCCGGACCGTCTGGCTCAATGATCAATCTCACCTCTACCGGCGACATGGAAGGCCGGGCGGACTCTAGCAAAGAGTAGTGCGTGGGACACCTGCCCACGGCCGACAAAGAGTAGACTAGGGTCAGATCCTTTTGCTATGTAAAAGAATCCAACTATTAAATGAAAACTAGTGTCCGCTATTTTATTTGGTGCGCCAGGTTGGATGGTCATCCCCTATCCGCTGTTTACGGACGTTTGGTGTGTCCGTTTTGGTGCACGGCATTCAAGTTACCCTTTTTTGCAGGAAATTGTGAGAGCTTTATTCAAACACAAAAGCATTCAAGTTGCCCTTAAGTAGTATATATATACTACCACATGGTAGTATATGAGACATGGGTGCAACCACACCCGGTAGTAGGATGTATTTTTGGCAAACACATACGGTCGTTGGTTTTGGTGTTGCAAGGGGCTACGGTGACTCAACCACAAAATGACATAGTCCTAATAGATGAATTCAGTTTTAAAAATAATAGATTGAACAAAGAACTCGGTACCAAATATATTAAACTATCTTAATTTTGTGTTCGAATTTATCTTTTATTTGTTTGGCATCCTGGCATTACATATGTGGTCTTGGTATGTTTAAATCAACATCAAAACAAACCGATAATGATGACAACACAGGGATCAGATGTAGATAGGCCTACATTGCTACTTAATAGCAACACATGGTTCACAATAATGAACATGAATGCATTCCAGATGTATAGGCCTACATTGCTACGTAACACAAAGATTTCAATAACGAAAATGGCTACAATTGCAGATATCTTTTACTCGGTGATGTACATATAATTTGTCCACAGAACAATCATACCTTCCCCTTAGAAAATACAAGAGAACATATCCAATGGACTCCAGATCATCCCTTCGGCTTTGCTCTGGTATGTGGTAACAACACTAATTTAGTGATACATGTCAAAAGATAGCAACAAAAAACATTTATGGTAGTGTCCCAGCAAAATAATGAGGCCAGCATTCAGGCATCTAAATTAGTAGTATATACAGAAATAAAAGGCCATAGTGCTCACCAATCCCAAGATGAGTGTTGCAGCTTGCATAGCGAGCTGTGCCAGTCAAATTTTTATTTTCTCTGAAAAATGTGAGTATGTTACGAATACTCAGACAACACATGGAATACCACAAAAAAATGAGAAGATCAAATAAACAAGAAAAGCAAATGCATGATAGTTCTACATGTATTTTGGTTCTAAATTATTACTAATTCACCTATAGGGTATATGGCGATTCGTGGTTGAGTCACGGTATCTCTTGGCAAGTCCGAAGTCAATGATGTAGACCTAGGAGTTGGACCATAAGTTAAACATAATGAATATATATGGCATAACTATCAGCGGCCAGCTTGTACAGACCTGGTTAGCTTTCCGACCAAGGCCCATAAGAAAGTTGTCGGGCTTGATGTCCCTGTGCAAGTACCCCTTAGAATGCAAAAACTCTATTCTTGTTATCTACAGTGGTAAATAAGTAATCAGCCATAGCCAAAGAACTATGACAAAATCAAATCCAGACAACATATACAAACTCCACTTCAAAAATCAGTGTATGAATATATAGAACGTAAAGCAAAAAATAGTTGCAATCAAGCATGGTTTCAACATGAAAAAAAAAGGCGGAGCAATAAAACATAACCATGAAAGAAAAATTGCAAGATAACCAAATGTTTGTTGAGGTAAACTGTACACCTGATCTCGAAGTAGACTAACAACTTGTTTCAAAAAAGCGATGCCTAGCCTTTATCTTTTGTTGCAGATTTTCATCTTAAGTATGAGCTACAGATAAGAGCACTATAAACAAGTCACAGACAGAACTCAGCAGAAAAAATTGAAAACAATCACAGCTGCAACACCGACTAACCACTAGGAAAAAGAACAAAGAGAAGAAAGCTGTGTATGAGCTACAGAGTAAAACCCTTATCAACAAGTCAGAGACAGAACACAATAGAAGAATTCGAAAACAATCACAATGTATCACCGATTCACCACTAGGAAACAGAAAAAAAGACATGAAGACTGTTTTTTCTTATTACCATCTGATCTGCCAACATCAAAACTGTCTTCAGTGAGAATCTCCGGCCACAATAAACAAACAGATCCTCAAGGCTTGGCCCAAGTAAATCAATAACAAGAACATTTTCTTCGCCATCAATGCCACACCATTTTATGTTTGCAATACCAGCTACAGCAATCCACGAGTACCAGAAGTTACCACCTTAGCTACGGTTCAGCAGTCGATGCAATAAGAAAATAATCACGGTTTAAACACATACTCCCTCCCTGAAGAGCATTATACAGTTTGGCCTCGTATAACAATTGGGGATGGTTGGTTTTGCTGTTTTCCTGAACAAAGCAATGAACATAAATCAGAAGACAGTGGGACTGCAAAAACCAAATAAATGATATTGAACTTTTTTATCAACATAAAATGGGAGTCTTTTATCAATGCAAATCGCTTCAAGTTATAAAATGTTACAAAATTATTTCATTGCTTGCTTCTATATCTAACTTCTAGTATAGAATTATGAAGAAATTATTGTGTTTAGGATCAAGCCAGAAATAAAAGTGGGAAAAAACAAGATATGGAGCAGGCAAACCCAAGAGTGTCCATGTTAGAACAAGTTCTCTCACCAGGATACACTCACTGTTCCTCTCATACACACATGCACACATGGAACTAATATGAAGCTCTGTAGGATTATATCATTAGCAACAAGCTTATATAGCAAAGGATGGCATGCATCAATATTTATAGCCTGAACAAACCGATCTTACTACCATCTACTGACTTAATAGCTAAGCCAGGACAGATCTTTTATTGGTTTCTGGGTCCTACTGCCATCTATCTACCTCAAAGTCAAATCAGATTTTGCTTCTCACTTCTGCCTGTTGCACTGGATGGATGTCTGTATTTCTAGCTGCTGCTCCTTGCTGACATGAAAACCTCATGCATAGCTAGCTAATTTTGCATGCCATACAGCATCCAGATAACTGATCATGACAAGATTAATACTAACAGTTAATTATGTGACTTCAGAATGGCCTTGGGAATAAGATAGACGTATTTTACTCAAAATAGAACCTATGACACAACAATACATTGCAGAGAACATGAACAGAACATGAGATACGCCACTATTCATTTGAGAAAACATGAAAAAAAAAGATGAGAGATTTGCCACTACTTATTAGAGAAAACATGAACAGAAGATGAGAGATACACCACTACCTGAACCCAGACAACAACTCAAAATCACACCAGACCATGAGCATGTTTGTTCTATAAAAGGTGCTTTGGGCGTGTTTGGTTCCCTGTGTTGCGTCTGGCTCACACCCACCATGCAAAATACAGTTTGTTTCGTAGGCTGCACGTATACCTGGGCCTGGCCCAATTGATGCAAAAAGGGTCTCCGAGCCAGGCTGAGCGGAAACGCAAGTTTTGGTCGTTTCCCGGATCCAGGCTCGCGTTTGCATCCGCGCATGCAGCGAGACTCGTCTCGCAATCTCGCCCCCCACGCGATTTGTCCGCCACTCTTCCACAGCCCCCCTCTCTTCTGCGATGCCGCTAGATCCGCCGCACCATTGCCTCTGCCCTTGACGCCGGCATGGCTCCTCACCACCGAGGTAGAGCTTCTCCTCCTTCCCTCCCTTTCCCTCCTGTTCCCGTGCTTCTCCTCCCCCCTCCCTCTCCCTCGTGCCCCCATCTATGTCTTCTCTATCCAGCCCCCATCCACCGGAGCAAGGCCTGCTTCGGCCACCCCATCCACCGGAGCAGGGTGGGTGTGAGCCAGAGGTGCCAGGACGTCTGTCGTGCTGCATCAAATAAGAAGCAGCAACAGGTTGTGTCGCAGCCATGAAGAAGCTTGTGTCCAGTCCAAGAAGCAGCAGGAGCGGAGCTGACGTGCCCATCCAAGAAAGAAGCAGCCAACGAGGCTCCACCGGACCTAGATAATATAACCGTTTGAGGAATTTTTGATAAATAAATTGAAACTTGAGTTTTGGTTCAGATTTCAGATAAGATTTATTTTGAGGAATTTCTAATGCAGTCTACCAAACAACATCTCTCATGCACGCATACCGTACATTTCACCAAACACTCATCTCAGCTCATCCTTGCATCATCTCAACCAGGCTAGACTCAGCCAGGATCCTCCATGCGATGCAGGCTATAGCCACCCGGGCAACCAAACACGCCCTTTATGCGCCACTACTTATTCGAGAAAACATGAACAGAAGATGAGAGATACACCACTACCTGAACCCAGACAACAACTCAAAATCACACCAAACATGAGCATGTTTGTTCTATAAAAGGTGCTCTATGCGGTACCTAGCCACTGGACAGGAGGGAACTGCCACAACTTTGGTTGTGCGCCCTCCACTGGAGCCTAGCCCAGTGCACGTAAAGCAGAGGAAGAGGCAGCAACAATAATAGAAACCAAGCAGAGAAACTTGTGAATTGGGAGTGAACCTTAAATATAAGCAGATGATATGGCCCGTCCAGCTCAGGAAAAAAATATAAGGACAGCAAGTGTATTATCATGATCTAGAGCTGTTTCATCACATGTAAAGGCCAATTTGTGCTTATTAACGGAACATTTATATGTTGGTTGCTGTATTAAATGATCCCTGCCCCTGACAGTAACACAACACTTTCCTCTTTTATGCTGTTATTATAGTTCAAAGCAACGCAGTATCTGCATAATCACTGAATAGACCACTATGGCGGGAACAGTTAGTTCGAACCATAACACCATTCCCATTTCAAAATATTACTGTGTACTTGTGTTGCAGAAGCATCAAGCAAGTCACAAAACAGCGCACCCTTCCTTCTAGGCAGAAACAACCCATAACCATGTGAATCCATGAAGTAACTGAAATAGATGTGTAATAAGTGCTACTTAACCCAAAAAAAAACTTGAACGTTCTGTATACAAAGCATATAAAAATAAACACAAGGAACTATCTCCAAAAAGAAAACCAACCAACAAGGAACAAGTTCTAAGTTTCTAACCCGTCAATCTTAGCATAAACTTGAACTGAAAATTAACACTCCTATATCAGGGCATTTCTAACATGCACAGCAATGCGCCGGTTAAAATATATATCTGAGGAGCCCAACGGCTACATCTTCACGCAACTAGTGGCAATAGACGCCGCATAATCCAAACGGATTGAAGAAAATACAAAGCAAGCGAGGGAGGAGGAGCTCACGATCTTGACGGCTACAATCTCGTACGTGTCGACATGCGTGGCTGCAGACAGGAGCGAGATGACACCAAACCCCATCAGATCCATGAATTAATCCAACCACGGAGAAGGAAATCGAAGGATAAGGAATCAAGATCGAACCGAGATATATCTCCCCGAAGGAGCCGCTCCCGATCTTGCGGCCCAGCTTGTACTTGCTACCGACGATCCGATCCATGCTCGCTCGGGGACGCGTAGGCTAGGAAGCTAGGGTTTGGAGTTAGGGTGGTAGGAGGGGGGCAAAGAAGCGGCTGAAGCTTCTATAAGGTCAGACAGGGTTAGGCCACCTCTTAGGGCATGTATAATGGTGCTATCTTAGGAGTGCCACGTAGAATAAATGATGAGGTGGAGGAGAGAGAACTCATAAGAAAAGGTTTGTCTTCTCTTATTTAAGATAAGACAAGAGATGATCTCTTAGCACAATTTGTCTCATCATATTTTAAGGAATCGCTGGTTATTGAAGATAAGGCTAAGATATAACCCATTGTAGACATATTTTTTTATCATCTCTAAATTACATGCAAGACTTAAGATAAGATTGTCTTATCAACCATTGTACATGCCCTTACCGGCTGGAGTTCTTTTTGGCCGCAGCTTAAAACAACTCCAACAGTTCCGCTGTTCAGGGTAAGTTGAAGAAAAGAATCAACTTAAAAAAATCCGGTAAATTAGTCTCAATCTCTTTTCTCATGTTTACCAGAAATATCTTTCACATAACAGGCTAGAAAGGGTAACTTCAATTGGCCGATCCAAACGAAGAAAATCATTTGGGTCGTACCAGACGGGACGAACCCTTTACTTCGCTATGTCATTTCTATCAATAATGATAATTTGGCACATTTTCATCAAACGTAGCAAATATATTTATCTAAAAAAATCTAGCATTTTTTTCCATTTAAACAAATAAAGAGGCTGCCCAACTCGCGTCCAAGAGGCTCCCTCGATTTGAAGCTTCGTTGGTCGTTTGATCTGGGTGAAATTGTTCTTCAACTTCATCTCGTTCGTTCGATCTTCGTTGTTATTTTTCTTCACCGCGTGGTTGTTTTCAGGACCAATGGCCGATGGGCTCGTGCCTTGTGTACAGTAGATGATACTCCGCACATTGTTGCGGGAATATTTGCAATACATTTCGATAATATGTGTTTTTTATGGAACGTGAATAGTGATACTACGTAAACTAAAATTGCAAATCCATACGCTTTATTGTGTTTGATTAATGTATTGTAAAATATCTAATATATGTGTTGCATGTTGAGGTGGACATTTTCATGTGCATGAATGCATGTTGTGGTGGGCCTTTTGCCATGCATGTTGCTTGATGATATGGCATGCTTGCATGTTGAGAGAAATATGTTAGTGGGGGCTAGCTATTTAGATATAGAAGATTGGGTGGGTGAAACATCCGCGGGTGCGAGGAAGTCTATCCTCGGGCGCCGCGGGTCTTGCGGCCGGCGTGGGCATGCACAGCTGCCCATTGGGCACTACCCCCACAAACCCTAGCCCCAGTCGTCTTTTTCCTTCCCGATCTCTCTCTTGCTCGTTGTCACCCTTGTTGTCGGTGTGCCGAGGAACCACCATGGTTGCGCCGCTAGAGGAAGCCGCCATCTGCGGTGTTGTTCCACTGCCTTGGAGTCGCGTCACGCTCGCTGGCTAACCTCCAAGCAGGAAGCCTGCAGGGAGCACACCAATGTGCGCATGCCCGAGGCTTGCTTGGAGAGCCGTCGACAAGCCGGCGGGAGGAGCTACGGGTTGGTCCCCCATCGCCGGTCGTGCCGTCATGCCAGTTGCCGTCAACCATGGCGTCGAGCAAGAGCGTCGGTTATGCCATCATGCCTGTCATCAGCGACCGTGGCGTCTGCAAGAGCGTCGGTCGTGCCGTCATGGGAGGAGGCTCATCATGAAGAGCCGCAGCAGGTGCCACAACGTCAAAAACGCTGCAGACTCGAGGAGGTGAGGATGGAACTACCTCTTCCCCATGTGAGCTCCCTTTTCTAGCTCCCTGCTTCACCTCTCCTCCTGCTCCCTCTCCCCCCTGCCCTCCTCTGTTAGGTGCTTCATCATCTTTTCCCTTCAGAGAGATGATGAGGTCTAGCTAGGTATCTAGTAGGGGTTTTTTTTATTTCTTTCTGTCTACCTGATGCTCACATCTAGCTAGGGTTCTATAGAGGAAAATTTTATTGTTTTGTTGATTTGGTTGCGTACCTCGCATAAGTTCCTCGAAAGGGGATTCTGTATGTTCCTGTTTAGGAGATGCGCTAGGATATAGCTAGATCACTAGAAGGCTTTTTGTTGTCTTTTAGGTTGTTTGGTACCTCGCTTTTTCCTCGTCGAGAAGGGGCGGGTTTGTCCTGGAGCTACTTTCTTTATAGATGAGGCTTTTGTTCGTTTGCTTGATGTGTTACACTCCTTTCGGTTGTAGGATTTTCAGGATGGACCTTCCCATCGATTGTTAATGGATAGATTTAACATATCTCATGAAAATCTAGGTATGAGTTTTTTGCAATGGTTGTTCTCGCATATTTGTGCGTTGTAGCATATTTAGTGACAAAAACATATGTTAGTTTTTTTCGAACCGAAGACCGTAGAATAATAGTTCTACGGTAATTTTCATTCAAATTAAAGTAAAGTTATGTACGTCAAAAAGAAAACAAAATAACCACTAGGGCCACCTAACCAATACCTGAAGGAAATATGCCCTAGAGGCAATAATAAAGTTGTTATTTATATTTCCTTATATCATGATAAATGTTATTATTCATGCTAGAATTGTATTAACCGGGAACTTAGTACATGTGTGAATACATAGACAAATAGAGTGTCACTAGTATGCCTCTACTTGACTAGCTCGTTAATCAAAAAAATGGTTAAGTTTCCTAGCCATAGACATGAGTTGTCATTTGATGAACGGGATCACATCATTAGAGAATGATGTCATTGACTTGACCCATCTGTTAGCTTAGCACTATGATTGCTTAATTTATTACTATTGCTTTCTCCATAACTTATACATGTTCCTATGACTATGGGATTATGCAACTTCCGAATACCGAAGGAACACTTAGTGTGCTATCAAACGTCACAACATAACTGGGTGATTATAAAGATGCTCTACAGGTGTCTCCGATGGTGTTTGTTGAGTTGGCATATATCGAGATTAGGATTTATCACTCCGATTGTCAGAGAGGTATCTCTGGGCCCTCTCGGTAATGCACATCACTATAAGCCTTGCAAGCAATGTGACTAATGAGTTAGTTGCATGATGTTGCATTACGGAACGAGTAAATAGACTTGCAGGTAACGAGATTGAACTAGGTATGATGATACCGATGATCGAATCTCGGGCAAGTAACATACCAATGACGAAGGGAACAAACGTATGTTGTTATGCGGTTTGACCGATAAAGATCTTCGTAGAATACGTAGGAACCAATATGAGCATCTAGGTTCTGCTATTCGTTATCGATCGGAGATGAGTCTCGGTCATGTCTATATAGTTCTCGAACCCGTAGGGTCCGCACGCTTAACGTTTGATGATGATACGTATTATGAGTTATGTGATTTGATGTACCGAAGATAGTTCGGAGTCCCGGATGTGACCATGGACATAATGAGGAGTCTCGAAATGGTCGATATATAAAGATTGATATATTGGAGGGCTATGTTTGGACACCAGAAAGGTTTCGGATAGGTTCGGGCATTTTCTGGAGTACAGGGAGGTTACTAGAACCCCCCGGGGAGTTAATGGGCCTTAATGGGCCATGGTGGGAGAGAGGAGGAGGCGGCCAAGTGGGAGGCGCATGCCCCCCAAGCCCAATCCGAATTGGGAGGGGCCGGCCCCCCTTTCCTTCTCTCCCTCTCCATCTTCCTTCTTCTCCTACTCCAACTAGGGAAAGGGGAAAACCTACTCCTACTAGGAGTAGGAATCCCTCCCTTGGGGCGCGCCATAGGAGGCCGACCCTCCCCTTCTCCACTCCTTTATATACGGGGGAGGGGGCACCCCATAGACACACAAGTTGATCTCTTAGCCGTGTGCGGTGCCCCCCTCCACAGATTTTCACCTCGGTCATATTGTCGTAGTGCTTAGGCGAAGCCCTACGTCGGTAACTTCATCATCACCGTCAATACGCCATCGTGCTGACGAAACTCTCCCTCGGCCTCAGCTGGATCTAGAGTTCGAGGGACATCAACGAGCTGAACGCGTGCAGATCGCGGAGGTGCCGTGCGTTTGGTACTTGGTCGGTTGGATCGCGAAGACGTTCGACTACATCAACTGCGTTACTTAACACTTCCACTTTCAGTATACGAGGGTACATAGGCACACTCTCCCCTCTCGTTGCTATGCATCCCTAGATAAATCTTGTGTGATCGTAGGAATTTTTTTTGAAATACCGCGTTACCCAACAGTGGCATCCGAGCCAGGTCTATGCGTAGATGTTATATGCACGAGTAGAACACAAAGGAGTTGTGGGCGTGGGTATATACATATTTCTTGCCGTCACTAGTTGTTTCTTGATTCGGCGGTATTGTTGGATAAAGCGGCCCAGACCGACATTACATGATCACGTTCATGAGACTAGTTCTACCGACGTGCTTTGCACATAGGTGGCTGGCGAGTGTCAGTTTCTCCAACTTTAGTTGAATCAGATTCAATGAACAGGGTTCTTTCTGAAGATCAAAACGCAATCACTATACCGTGTTGTGTTTTTGATGCGTAGGTAAGAACGGTTCTTGCTAAGCCCGTAGCAGCCACGTAAAACTTGCAACAACAAAGTAGAGGACGTCTAACTTGTTTTCGCAGGGCATGTTGTGATGTGATATGGTCAAGACGTGATTATATAAATTATTGTATGAGATGATCATGTTTTGTAACACAGTTATTGGCAACTAGCAGGAGCCATATGGTTGTCGCTTTATTGTATGAAATGCAATCGCCATGTAATTGATTTACTTTATCACTAAGCGGTAGCGATAGTCGTAGAAGCAATAGTTGGCGAGACGACAACGATGCTACGATGGAGATCAAGGTGTCAAGCCAGTGACGATGGTGATCATGACGGTGCTTTGGAGTGTAACATCCTCGATGCGACTATATCTCCCACGTGTCGAGGCACAACTTAGAGGCATAATCGCATTGAAGGCATATGTCGCAAGTTAGGCAATCTTCACAACAACTCATGT